TTGTAGAGTTCCTCTATTCATACACACGGTTACATATGTATTACATATATGTTATTACATATATGTTTGTTACTGCTAGATCATTACTTACTATCCCGTTAGTTGCTCTGAAGGTTTGTGTCTTAACGTGATAACAAATGACTAAAGCAATTAATCAACTAAGCTATGTTACCAAAGTTTCTACTTACTTACTTTCGCAATTCGCTATTGAAATCATTATTGTCTACGAAATATTAACAAAAGTCAATAAACTTTTTGATACATACCCAAAAACAAAAAATTGAAGGTAATTTTTTGGTTTTGGGTATACACACTATTTGTTTTTTTTAAAGGACACGCTTGCCAGCAGTGATATAAACATATCTAACACTCGTTCAATAAGTCCGCTGCTGAACATAGGTTTCACTCATCGATTACCTCATAGGGAGGTTATTTGCCTTAGTTACCAAGCGAGTTGGCAACTGCAGTTTTTTTTATTATTATTGCGTTATTTCCAAGAAGATGCTGTTTCAGTTTCCTTCTATCATCTCCTACGACACCCACGGAATGAAACATTGTGGTTAGCTGACTAGGCTGACTGCAGGTGGACTGTAAATATGTTTGTCACTAAAATTAAAAAAAAATGGAGCATTCAAACCCAAGATGTTTTAGTTACTGACCTATTGGTAACAGATTGCGGGCCCGTAACCAATAGGTTGCTGTTATTTAATTGAATAATAAATTTATTTTATATCAGACTCGCCCAGGATTTGCCTGGATAGGATCTTTTAATGAGGCGTTATTAGATTTAAGATAGTCATATATCATTTATTTTCTGCCCACTTCAAAAAGGAGATGGTACTCCATTCGACTGTTTTTTTTTTATGTGTGTTACCTCATAACTTTTTACTGGGTGAACCGATTTCGATGATTATTTTTTTATTTGAAAGCTGGTACTTTACATGTCCATTATCAAGATCAGATCTATAGTTTTTGAGTTATTATTAGTAATTTATATTAAAGTCGGCTCTACAAAATTTTTGATTTTAAATTATATCAATTTATCGTTCTTTCAATAAATCAATCGGTTCAGTTATTTCTAAGATTAATCTTATAAAAAGACAAACATTTGAAAAAGTTGTTTATGCCTTTATCGCATTCAAATAACCCCATGAGCTCAATAGAATCTAGTTGTTTTAATATAACAGACAATTCAATTTTATATATATATATATATATATATATATATATATATATATATATATATATATATATATATACTTAATGTCATAGGGCATTCTCTCCCAGTCAACCATTAGGCTAAACAGAGATATACAAACAAGAGGCGGTGCAGCAGTAATCAAAATAGGAAGCGCTAAAAAATATTGTATTGTACACATATACATATAAATATACATATACACACACATACATAGACATATATACTTAAATACACATAATATATGCATATATAAATACATACATACACATATACATGCGTACACTACATATATACACAATACATATAAATATTATCTATGTCAGAACAAATATGAAATAGACATATGTGTATGAATATAAGAACTGTGTTAGTTCAAACTTGCCACGATTTTTGCACATGCTTACGGACTTGATTTTTAAAAACAAACTTGTCGGAAACTTTTTAAATGTCAAGAGGGAGATTTGTCGGGTTTCTCTTCATATTATATGTTTTGTAGCTTAGGTGCTAGGCGTTCGCCGTAAATTTGGTTCCGCCGAGTTCGAAGTCCGCAGGCAACAATGAAAATGTAAATTGCGAATTGAAGTGCTGATTTTCCACGTACCGGCCTGTGCCCGTATGGTGTGTGGAACGTATATAAATCTACAGAATATAGACTGAAACTTACCTTTTTAATTTAGAATTTTCTTTATAAAACTGAAGTGATAAGCGTATTAACAGTCCACCTGAAGGTAAGTGGCTACTGTTGTAGCCCAGGGACACCTGCAACTAACGTTAAGCATAGAAGGCTACAGGTGTGTTGTCACCTTTGAGGTTTAAAATGGAATGCCTCACAGCCTTTTATTTTATTGACTCTCTATACCATAGGTTCCTAAAAATTTAAGATAACGAAACATCCACCTAATACATTTTATTTTATGGAACCCCATATCAAATGATTACAAATCGAAGACACTGTAACTTAAACCTGTCGCTATCCCACTATATAATATCATTGACATTGTCTCACTATTGTGTCTGAAACTCGGACAGTCAAAGTATTAAATAAGAACAAAAACTTAATTAGAAATATTTTAAAAGTAAAACACTTTATTCTTTACTTTAACTTCTAATGTGAAGAATGAAATTGCTTCAATGTTTTATAAATAAATGCTTTATAATTCCGTTTTATGTCTGACGTTTGTATGTACGATAAAAATAATTTCGCGGAACCCTGGTGACTTTTCTACCAAACCCCTAGGTTCCGCGGAACCCACTTTATGTACAGCTGCTCTATACCCTTCAAATCGGTACTGCTAATTAGGTGGCAGATATAGGTAAAGGTGTTGTACCCAATCAGTAGTACAACTCTGTACAACTACGGATGGAGGACACTTTTTCTACCAATAGGAGTCTTTTCAGCTAGTAACGCCTTATAGATGTTTTGTAATTAACAATTTTCTTCCTATGAAACCGAAGCAAGGTCGTTGGGAAAATGTTGGTGGGCTCTATTTTTGGCTCGCTGTTGCGAACACGTACTTTTTAAATTTGTTTACGTGAATAGCCAGCGGGCGCTGTTGCCTATCATGATATTAATAATACATTTCCATCATTTCAGAAGCAATTTATCGTGTTCGTTTTAATAAATAATCCACGTGATAATTTTTTTTAAATTTATAATTCAACAAACTATAAATAAAAACGTGTGTGCTTATTTACGCACGTAGGAAGTTACTTTTTTAGCGTGACCTTAAATAAAGTTATCAGTTCCCACGAAAACTTGAGAGACAGTTACCAAATGAAGTTGTCGCTTTGAGGTGTCAGTGTGCGCGCGCATCGCAACAACTTCATGGTGTCGTTTTCATCTGTCGTTTTACGCGCGCATCATAAAAAATTCACTGTCATGATTTGACACTATCGCCCCAAAAGAAGTATAACTTCGATAAAATATTTACACTGTTTTGTAAGAATGTGATTTTATCTATACAATCTATACAAATAAATAAAATTGAAGTGTCTGTTTGTAATGTCAAAATTACGGATTTTTACTAAATGCATATGAAAGTATATATGATACTTATAACAAAAACACAATTATTAAAATTTTTGTCTGTCTGTCGGTCTCTCTGTCTGTCTGTCTGTCTGTTTGTTCCGGCTAATCTCCGAAACGGCTGTACCGATTTTGACGGTATTTTCACTGGCAGATAGCTGATGTAACAAGGAGTAACTTAGGCTACCTTTATTTTAGAAAAACAATTAGGGTTCCGCGCAAAAAAACCGCAAATAACACGCGAGCGAAGTCGCGGGCAACAGCTAGTTTGTAATAAAATTTAAGTTACATACGAACTTACAGTCTAATTTCCAACAACTTCAAACAAGCAATGCTACAGATGCGTTGTCACTGCGGAGGATTAACACTTTCACAGTCCCGTTTCCAGACACAATAGTAAGACAATAGCAGTGCCCTATATGTAGTGCACTGGACAGCGAAAGGGTTAAGATGTAACGCCTCACAGCCTGTAATTATACTAGCTCTTATTTTTATAGAATAAGGTTGATAAATGAACACAATCCACTTTATGGTAATGGATGATGCGGCCCACAGACATCTACATCTATCCTTGATTAAGAATCAAAATACAGATATGTTGTTACCTAGCTAAGATGGAAAACCTCGTTTAAGGGTCTCCGGTTATCTATACTCACCATTCGAAACACAGCAGCATTGAACTGCTATTTTACGTTTGTATTCTGCAAGAGCATTGTCCTTCCTTCCACAGTTGAGCCGACCCATTCGTGCTAGAACCATTTTTAGTTTTTTTTTTTTATAATTAGTTTCTAGACCGGAATACAGCAGTGCAAGCATTGCTTCTTGCCGTAAGAAATAGATAAGGAGGTGGTATCTACCCAGATGGATTCCCAGGCAGAAAAAATCACACCTGTAAGTAAAATAAAAGAAAATCTACGCCGTAATAAATTTTACAGTGTGTAGTAAAATTTCGCTTCTCCAAACCGCAAATTTTGTTATGTTTGATTTTTTTTATAGGATAGGCTGACAAACGAGCACACAGTCCACCTGATGGTAAGTGGTTGCTGCGACACATAGACATCTAAATATATCCTTAATAAAGTATCAAAATGCAGATGCGTTGTCACCCGTGAGGACTAAGATGGAATGCATCTTTTCCAGTATTCTGTGAGAGCGTTGTCCTTCCCAAGTCGAGCCGACCCATTCGTGCTACAACTATACCATTAATATAGCTGCAGAATGGCTCTACCACGTACAAAACGTATTGTTGGATTTCACATATCCGCGGAATATTGTTATTTTTACAGACAGAAACGTTTTCTCTCGATGATTTTCTTCACGCAGGACCACACAAATGTAAATTCACTATATGCTCGGCACAGTAGGAATACATACTGAATAAACCAGCATGCTTCATAAATTTAAATATAACTAAAATATTAGGGAAATCCTGTAAAAAGCGCTCTGAAATTAGCGGAGGCTAGCGTGTGATTAGTGAGACGTGTATCTATCTACCTACTCGTAGTTTGACGTTGAACACCTCTTTTTAACAGTATTTAATAAATACTGCTCGTTTTTGAACATGTGTTTTCTGTTTAATATTATTATACTTTTTCCTTTTAGTATATTCTATGCTATTAATAAGCCATTAGAAATTTTGATAAAGCACATGCAAATTAGCAACATTAAAATTACTCTTGTCTCGTACAACCGATGCAACAAGTAACCCCAACGGGGACGCTTGCGGGGGCGGGACGCGACTGAAAGCTGAAAGCGTTTAGTATCGCCGCGACCATGGCTACGGACGGACGTACGAAGCGCTCGCAATCGATATGTGCGCCAGCATCCGCGAGTATGGAAGCATTGGCAGCGCCGATGGAGACCACGCCAGCTCCGCGGCGGAGACCGGCCGCTCGTTCTCAGTCCGCGCGGATAACAGGAGGCAGGTCCGTGAGGCACAGACGCCAACAACAACAGCAGCAGCTAGATAGAGAGACCAGGACAAGATACAGTTCCGAGCCGCGTCTCGCCGAAGCGGAAACCCCGCCGCAAGTAAGGAGGCAGGCTTCCGCGCGTCGTCGACCTCCGGCCGGTCAACACAGCCAACCGCGTCGTTCTAACGCGTTCCTCGACGTCCCAAGATCAACCCACCAGCCCGAGGAGGAACCGGACGAGGACTCTTACAGACTACGCACGTTCAATACGACGCAGAAAGGAGGTCAGTGCTACCACGTTCGTTCACCTCCGTACCGTTATATTTAAAAACGCAAAGGAAATTTTCACTTTTTTTTTTAATTTGAAAAGAAACTTTTGGCAATCGGCCTGATCGGTCCGCCGAGTGTTTTCCCATCGGAGTTTCGTATCGGAAAAGGGTGAGGATTTAATGCAGTTGACGGTTTGATTTTCCGAAAGTGGGCTAAAAAATTAACGTAAAACCTCTCCGTGCAGTCATGAATCATGCACAAGTGTTTCGTTTACGAGGGCGCCATAAATCAGTCTTGATACCGGCGCGATCGTTTACTTTTGAGGTAAAAATAAACCTGGACATCGCATCGCTGTAACGTAAACATCCAAAAATTTTACTGTCAAACTTGCTTACTTTTTGTTTCACACAGAATAAGTTTCGCGTAGCAGCAAATGTTTGCGTCTGTTAACATATTAAATACACATTTACCAAATATTTATGCTAAACTATTCAGTTTCCTAGAAGATTTAAAAAAAAACTTGATTGATAAATGAACTTCTAGTACACCTACAGCCAACTTCGAACAAAAATGCTTTATCACCTCTAAGGACTACGACAGTAGTTTCACAGACTGCAATTATACTGGTTTTCTATACTATTCAGATCAAAACACAGTAGTTAAAACTTTTTTTTAATAGGATAGGGTGACAAACGAGCACACAGTCCACCTGATAGTAAGTGGTTGCTGTGACCCATAGACATCCACATCTATCCTCAATAAAGAATCAAAATGCAGATGCGTTGTCACCCGTGAGAACTAAGATGGAATGCCTCTTTTCCAGTAAAAGAGGTCACTGGTTCTCTACACCCACCATACGAAACACAGCGGTGTAAGCTGCTATTTGACGTTGGTATTCTGTGAGAGCGTGGTCCTTCCCCGGTCGAGCCGTACCCATTCGTGTTACAACTATACTACTAATATAGCTGCAGCATGGCTCTACCACGTACTAGTGCTATAGTAGTCTATTTGGCGGTAGAATTAAGAGAGTGGTCACTATCCCAGCAGACTCTTATCCAGAAAACGAGTCTTACCACTTAGTTAATAATTTAAAATTAAACATTTTGTACAACCGACTTCAATATAAATAATTAAGAATAACTCAAAAACTATTGGTCAGATCTTGATCAAATTTATATAAAACCACATGTGAAGCACCAGCTATCAAATAAAAAAAAGATTCATTGAAATCTGTTCACCCAGTGAAAAGTTATGAGTTAACACACATAAAAAACATACAGTCGAATTGAGTACCGTCTCCTTTTTGAAGGCGGCAGAAAAGTAATTTAAAAGGTCCATTATAATACTTAACAAGACTCCAGAATTACTAATTAATAATACTGACTAAATCATCTTTTTAGGTTCAAGTATTTATACCTTAAATTAAAAAAAAATATCGAATTATTTTTATACTTGATTAAACTGATCTAAACTGTCAAAATATACAAAACACATAAAGTATTTTTCTTTTTAGAATAAATATGACAAACAAACACACGTCCAACTGATGATAAGAGGATGCTGTGGCCCATAGAGATTTACATCTATCCTCGATTAGGAATCAAAATGCGGATGTATTGTCACCCCTGAGGACTGAGATGGAATGTTTATTTCCATAAAAGGGGCCTCCAGTTCTCTTTACTTACCTTACGAATAACAGAGGCATTAAGCAGCCATTTACGCTGGTATTCTTTGAGAGGGTGGTCCTTCCCCGATCAAGCCCACCTATTAGTGCTACAACCATAATATTGCTCTAGCACGAATAGAGACGGGCTATGGCTCTACGACGTAAAATTAAAATTATTTTATTCATCTTCATTGCAGGTTTTCACAAAGTTCACTGATGAACATGGCTCTCTCTCAATTGATGTCACAAAACACGGCTCTACGCCATCTGCATCTATCGACTGTGAAATCTTTTTTTATATAGGATAGGGTAACAAACGAGCACACAGTCCACCTAATGGTAAGTGCTTGCCGTGGCCTATAGACATCTACTACTATCCTCGTTTGCGAATCAAAACGCAGATACGTTGTCACCCGTGAGGACTAAGATGGAATGCCTCTTTTCCAGTAAAAAGAATCTCCGGATCTCTACACTCACCATACGAAACACAGCAGTGTTAAGCTGCCATTTTACGCTGGTATTCTGTGAGAGCGTGGTCCTTTCCCGGTCGAGCCGACCCATTCGTGCTACAACTATACTACTAACATAGCTGCAGCATTGCTCTACCACGTATAATAATAATAATAATCATCCAGAAACACGTCTTATTAGGTATTCATGGCACCTATTAAGCTAGTTGCCCTACGATTCGCTTACCTCTACGAGGCCACTCAATAATCTTTTCTCCCTACTTGTTGTTCGTTCTTTAAGCTGTAGCGCTGGCCCATTGCCAATTCAGCTTACTAATTCTCAGGGCTAGGTCGATAACTCTTTTTCTATTGCGGGCAGACTAATTGTGAATTCTATAACGTAAAGAAACTCCGAGCATAACCCTCTACTTAGCTCGCAAAACGTCCTTGCATTTTCTCATACGGCCAGCGGTTCTGCTCCACCTCTCAGGTAGATCGTCACCGGTTGTCAGAAATAGACGAGAAGTGATGAGAAGATGTATCGTATATCCCAGATGCTATCTAGCCGAGTTGGACCCGTAAATTGACCTCTCAATTTTTCTTAGCCAAATATAATCGTCAACAGGTTCAAACGTAGTGTTCATAACAACTACTGCCATAGGTGTGACATGTCGTCACACAATCTTTGTCTTGTTTTATGACCTGAATTAGGAGACACTATTGAGATCATAGATCTAAAGTCCTCTTGCGATTCTGCCATAATGATTATATTGTCAGCAAATCGAAGGTGTAAATATTCGTCATTTATGCTGATACCATATCCTTTCCAGCCCAGTAGCTTCCAAATGTGTTCAAATTCATCGGTGAAAAGTATCAGTGAAATAACATCACCCTATCACCTCTTACCTCTCAGCAATTAGATGGGGTTATTAGCAGCTTTGGATGGTGGTCCACCAAAAAAAACTGGAATTATTAACCGGTTGATTTTAATACAAGGATTTTTTTTGTACTTACATGGTTACGACATATGACTCCACTTTCATAAATTTTTCTGCTTACGCATGTAGCTCCATTACATATTGAAGGCGCCCATTTCGTATTTTAGGTCCGGCAGCCTTACAAAAAGGTTTATTGGTTGTTATTTCACTTTACTTTCTAAATTAAGTGAAGGTCTGTTATATATCAGACCTGTTTGTTAGTATATATATATATATATATATATATATATATATATATATATATATATATATATATATGTTATTTAATGTTTTCAAGATAAACAGTCACTTAACTCTGAATTTAAGTCCCTCCCGTTGTCACTAACTACTTCAAAAAAACCTTACATTTCTGAGAGAGTTGCTCTAAAAATCAACTAAGAAATGGGATAGAATTAGATGAGGATAATTTAAAAAGAGAGAGAACATTAGACCTCCGCTCTGCTCCAATATGTGTGGGCGGACTTCAAATGTACTCAAAATATTTTCATATAATATTATTCCTACAACATTCAGGTTCCTCACGATGTTTTCTTTCACCGCTGAACACGTGGTGTATCAGCGCATGTAATTGCAATTAACAATTACATTGGTGCGGGGATCAAACCTGGGTTGCTCACGTACTGTGAAACAGCTAGCGCTTAGCCCTGAGATACTGAGCTCTTTTTTAAAACAAAATTACCTAAACTAAGGTAACGAAAGAACTTGTTCAACAAATGCGCTTAAAAGCCATCTTTAAAAAACTTATTACAAGACGATGGTCTGACATTTTAACTTTATATCGGCAGTACGGCAGTATCCATTTCCTGTCTCATTTCTTGTGGATGACGTAAAAATCGAATTGAGGGGATTAAGTAATACATAAGTACTTATTGCGTTGATTGAGGGAATTCATGTGAATTCAGTAACGTTTTTTTTATAGAATAAGACTGACAAACGAGTATACAGTCTACCTGATGGTAAGTGGATGCTGTGGCCCATAGACATCTACTTCGTTAAGACCCAAAATGCAGATGCGTTGTCACCTCTGAAAACTAAGATGAAATGCCTTGTTTCAAGTAAAAATAACCGGTGCTCTACATTCACCATACCAAACACAGCAGCATTAAGCTTCCATTTTACGCTGGTGTTTTGTGAGAGAGAGGGTCCTTCCTGGTCAATCAGACCCATTCGTGCTACAACCATAATATAGCTGCAGCGTGGCTCTTAGACTTTTATTAAAAAAGTAGATATCGAAATTAAATCACTATAAATAGTAAAATAATTCCGCACCATAGCTTCAGAAGTTGAAATAGAATAAAATAGAGTCATTTTTATTCAATATAGATTACATCACATAATCATTTTTTACATTTACCACTGGTTCGCAAAAAACCTCTGTCCTGGGAAGAACCAGCAATAAACCCAGCGTGACTTTTTTAAATAACTCAATTTACAATATACTATTTTATACAATTGTTATGAAAACATTTAGAAACAGCATGGTAGCGATCACCTCATTCCCAGGGGTTATTATCAGTCATGTACTCTCTAGTAGTATAATAACCCTTACTAGACAATTTTTGCTTAATAAAAATAATTTAAACCTTTTGATAGAAAAGGTCTGCATATTTTCTGAGACTTTGTTGTAAAAGCATATACATTGCCCCATGAATGAGTTGCTGACTCTCTGGAGTCGAGTAACTGGTATACTTAACTAACCTAGTTACCTAGTATTTGCAGAATGTACATCACTATTTTTAATAAAACTATTTTTGTATTTGTGTTTAGGGGCTATAATACTACACACTATGTCTTAGCGCCGATTTCTAAAGCTATTATGTGATTTTTTTTTGTAGTTCTTTGAAGATGGCTTTTACTTTTTTATATCATACATCATAAACTTCTACCTAATAATGAGCCGC